TATGCGTGATGATAAGTTTTTGACAAATCATTTTTGTGGATCTAATGATGTGTATGTTAGGTACCTACTTGTAAATGTTTTGACTATATTTGTTTGAAAAGATTTATTTTTAGTTATGTTAATGTGTATAATGCGTGCTGCTTAGTTATTAATTTAAGAACATGGATTTAGTCTTTGACCGAGGTGGATATAATGACTAGGTACTCGTATACATAACATGTTGATTAGTCCAAATTACTAAGGTATTTATCTTGTATTCGCATAATAATATTATCATTATTTTATTTTTTAGGATTCGATTTTTATGAACTAAGTTTACTGTTTACGAGTTTGTTTGTTTGCTTAACGTCCTTTGGCTTTTCAGAATAATGCATATTAAGTAATATTACTATACAATATATTGAGTTGACAATCTCGATGCTGTAATGTATCCACTTCACCTGGGGCTCGTATCCCTCGGTGTCGTTCTGTTTATATAACGAGGTCTCGGAAACTCGACCTCGGTGTGTGATATTATTGCTAGGGATCAAGGTTACCTAATGTAAAGCAAAGTAATCAACGTATATATGTATAAATATGTAACTGTTATTAACTATCGAATCTTATAATATAAAGAACATCAAATAATAGTTATTAGATATACTTATAAATTAGCTTAACTGATTGTTACCGATCGGGCCATGGTGTGTCGACGTGTCGTGGGTGCTGATATCCGATGTGAGTTGAGCTGGCCGTCCACAGGTCCTCTTCAGGTCGTTGTCAGCCCTCGACTTTCACTGTCGACCATTCACTATGACTCTTGACTCTGCTTGTGACTCTCGACTCGTTCCCTCGACTATCAACTCCACTACTGACTCTATCTATTTTTCGCCAGGATTTCCGGTCGGTTATTAACACGATGTCAGCTAAACATCGAGTCAGCATAATATATATTTCATACATATAATATACACATTTTCCATTACTCAGCATATTAGTCGTGCTAGACGTAGGGAGTAATGTACGATGTCGATGACGACATGGTTGTTACAATGCTAATAAGTAATAATTAACCAGTACAGCGTAGGTAGTATAGGTAGGAGACAGTATGTCAGTCTAGGTATAAGACATATTATATACATTATACATATCTATGGTACTAAACCAAAATTTGACCTATAATAGGTAGGTACCTATAATAAATTCCAAAATTAATCATATCAAAATATCCATTAGGTACTCATAACGCGTTATACATCAACAAAAACCGTGATACTATCATAGATATATAATAGTACACTTTAGAAGTTTCAAGTACCCACGAATAATATTATTCAATCACAACAAAATAACTAAAATAGTTATTCTAGGTTTTTTAATATGTAATTTCGTCCAAATTTGAAATTAAAATGTCTGTAAAAATAAGTGTGTTTATATATTTTTTAGATTTTCTGGTTACAGTATGAATTATTTAAGAGAATCTTTGTTTTAAATTTTCAACTCTTAGTTATAAAAACTGAACATTTTATAATTTTTTAATTCCAACGATTGATTATTTTCGAGATTTTGATGAATTTTGTCAAAATTCCAACTTTAAATGCTTATAAAAAAAAATCGTGCTTATGTATTTTTAAAATTTTTCAACTGATATTGTAACAATATATAAGAAAGCTTGTATTCAATTTTCAGACTTTTTGGCCCACCAAATAAAATTTTATTGACAATTATAAAAAAAAAAACTAAAAAAATTGAAAACTGAAAATGTCCCTAAACAGCTCAAAAAGAGTCAAAATATTTTCAAAATTGTATGATGTATAGGAAATGCTAATTTAAACATTCAGTGAAATTTTCATGTATCTACAGTTGTTCGTTTTTGAATTACAACAAAATTAGGAAATCGCTACATGAGAAATCGAGTGAATATCCAATGTTGTAAAAATTTTAATTTCAAACGCTCATAAAAATTTAACTTGACTGTCCGGTAGAGATTTTTTTATTGATAAAGGTAGATAATCTTATAAGGAATCTTGTGTTTCATTTTCAAATCTTAGATTTAAAAAGAAAAATTTTTACGAATTCTTAACTCAAAATAATTTGCTAATTTTCGTGATTTTTCCATATTTTGTAAATTTTTGAACTTTAAATGCTTATAAAAAAAAATTGTGACTAAGGATTTTTAATATTTTTCATCTGCCTTTGAAACAACATTTTAGGAGCCTTCTATTAAATTTTCAAGCTTTCGCAACCAACAAATAAAATTTTATTGATATTTCTAGAAAAAAAACTAAAAAAAAATGAAAATGAAAATGTCCCTAAACAGTTCAAAATAAATCAAAATATTTTGAAAATGTTATCGTGTATAGAAAATGCAAATATAAACAACCAGTGAAAATTTCATGTATCTACGGTCATTTGTTTTGAAGTTACACCAAAAACCAAATTCGATTTTTTGGAAAATCGATTTTGCGTAAAAATTCCCGTTTTTCCTTAATTTTTATGTTGTTTTTCCCGGCGCTTGTGAAAACTACTGGAAAATTCCATATTCCATATTTTGTCGATTTTTGAACTTTACATGCTTATAAAAAAAAACCGTGACTAACGATTTTTAATATTTTTCATCTGCCTTTGAAACAGTATACTAGGAGCCTTCTATTAAATTTTCAAGGTTTTTTAACCAACAAATAAAATTGTATTGATATTTCTAGAAAAAAAACTAAAAAAAAAATGAAAAATGAAAATGTCCCTATAAACAGTTCAAAATATTTTGAAAATGTTATCGTGTATAGAAAATGCAAATATAAACAACCAGTGAAAATTTCATGTATCTACGGTCATTTATTTTAAAGTTACACCAAAAACCAAATTCAATTTTCAGAAAAATCGAAAAATCGAAAAATCGAAAAATTCCCGTTTTTCCTTAATTTTTCTTGGCGCTTTTGAAAAGTACTGGGAATTTTAAATTTCGACCTCCCCAATGCACCAACGATATTCACTTTCCATTCGAATGAGATACTGAAGTCGAAAATCGAAGCATTATTTGGACTACTTATCGTGTACACAGACACAAAAAAAAAAAAAAAAATTAAAAAAATTAAAAAAAAGGTGGGCAAGTGGGTGTCGCTCTGCTGTACAGTAGGTTACAAGTGGGTCACTGTATAATGGATGATATTAAATTTGAATTCAACGATATAATATCATTGTATAAGAAAAACGATTCTGAGCGGAGACGGTATGTCAGTCTATGTTTAAGACATATTATATACATATCTATGGTATTAAACAAAAAATTGACCTATAATAGGTACCTATAATAAATTCCAAATTAATCATATCACAATGTCCATTAGGTACTTATAACGCGTTATACATCAACAAAACCGTGATACTATCATAGATATATAATAGTACACTTTAGAAGTTTCAAGTACCCACGAATAATATTATTCAATCACAACAAAATAACTAAAATAGTTATTCTAGGTTTTTTAATATGTAATTTCGTCCAAATTTGAATTTAAAATGTCTGTAAAAAATAACTGTGTTCATATATTTTTTAGATTTTTTGGTTACAGTATGAACTATTTATGAGAACCTTTGTTTTAAATTTGCAATCCTTAGCTATAAAAACTGAACATTTTATAATTTATTAATTTCAATGATTGATAATTTTCGAGATTTTGATAAATTTTGTCAAAATTTGATCTTTAAATGCTTATAAAAAAAAACTGTGCCTATGTATTTTTAATATTTTTCAACTGCTATTGTAACAGTATATCAGGAGCCTTGTATTAAATTTTTACACTTTTTGGCCCAACAGATAAAATTTTATTGATATTTATAGAAAAAAAAACTAAAAAAATTGAAAGCTGTAAATGTCCATAAACAGCTCAAAAAGAGTCAAAATATTTTCAAAATTGTATGGTGTATAGAAAATGCTAATTTAAACATTCAGTGAAATTTTCATGTATCTACAGTTATTTGTTTTTGAATTACAACAAACTAAGGAAATCGCTACATGGGAAATCGAGTGAATATTCAATGTTGTAAAAATTTGAATTTCAAACGCTCATAAAAATTTAATTTGACTTTCTTATAGACATTTTTTTTTTTGATAAAGGTAGATAATCTTATAAGGAATCTTGTGTTAAATTTTCAAATCTTAGATTTAAAAAGAAAAATTTTACGAATTCTTAACTCAAAATAATTTGCTAATTTTCGTGATTTTTCCATATTTTGTCAATTTTTGAACTTTAAGTGCTTATAAAAAAAAATTGTGACTAAGGATTTTTAATATTTTTCATCTGCCTTTGAAACAACATATTAGGAGCCTTCTATTAAATTTTCAAGCTTTCGCAACCAACAAATAAAATTTTATTGATATTTCTAGAAAAAAAACTAAAAAAAAATGAAAAATGAAAATGTCCCTAAACAGTTCAAAATAAATCAAAATATTTTGAAAATTTTATCGTGTATAGAAAATGCAAATATAAACAACCAGTGAAAATTTCATGTATATACGTTCATTTGTTTTAGAGTTACACCAAAAACCAAAATCGATTTTTTGGAAAACCAATTTTGCGTAAAAATTCCCGTTTTTCCTTAATTTTTATGTTGTTTTTCCCGGCGCTTGTGAAAACTACTGGGAAATTTATACTTTTGACCCCCCAAAGTACCAACTAGATTCACTTTCCTATCAGAAAAGCTACTGATGAAGAAAATCCAAGCACTTTTACTGTCCTAAAACGTGATGACAGACACAAAAATAAAAAAAAAATAAAAAAAAAAATAAAAAAAAAAATAAAAAAAAAAATAAAAAAAAAAACACACATCATTGTAAAATCAATACATTCATCGTTTCACTCAGAATCTAAAAAACACACACATCATTGTAAAATCAATACATTCATCGTTTCACTCAGAATTTAAAATATTATTGAGATTTAAGAATAGACATCTTTAAATAATTTAAATATCTAATATTATTTTTATAGCCATTTTATATAGTGTATGCGAGCCTAAAAATGTTCTTGATGAATTTACTGTGGTTATTAGTAGAAGGCAACATAGTCCATGTATGGTCAATTAATGAAGGTAATCACTAGAGTTGCAAATAATGTGAAACGTTTTAACTCATCTTGTATTTATCATCATTAGGGTATGGTGATGATGTGGCGCCCAATAAAAACACGGAAAAATTTAAAATTATCAGTAAACCCTGCGATAAGAAAGCCGATTTGTTTATGCTGCAACATAAACACCTTAGCGCCGAAGGATTTGATGCTCCACCGCCAGCTGGATCAACTATATGGTTAGGTTCAGAAAACTGCAATGGTATGAATGTATAATAACATTGAAATCAAACTTACGATCATATTATACTGTGACTATTTCAGTTACAACATAGCAGAAATTATGGGGGAGGGGCTAATTTTAGTAATAAGTAGTACTTTAATGTATATCTGAACATTTTTTTAGGCCGTTTTTTGTAAAACGTATAGCCCATTCAAATTTACTTCTCGTTGTTGTAAAAAATGCAGAAAGCAGTCAAAGTCATTTGAGTGTTAATCCAGTTAAAGTGGAGTATAAAAACACATCAGGTATAATCACAGATCATAGTTGCAACAAACTGAATCTCAACTCTTTTTATAGACGCAAACTGGGAGGATGTTATAATAGTCATCCGGAGGTAATATATTTGTTACTAATTAAATCTCAATATATTATTTAATTATTTATTCATGATATAAATATTTTTGCAATTCTTTTAATACTTGATTTTATTTTCATAGGAGCCAAACACCAAAGTGTGTTCAAAATGTAATATTATCAAGTCAACAATATTATTTGTATTGGTAACGAGCAATTTATGTATGCATATTTAAATTTAATTATGCTTTATCAACAAACTGTAATTCATTAATTAAAAAAAAGAGATACACAATTAAAAAAAAAATATAATATTATTAATGTACTTATAAGAATTCTAATATTGTTATTTAAATATAATTTGATAAATATAACTTTATTGATTGGCTTAATCCTTAACAATTTTAATAACTGTCAATTTTCAAAAGTTAAATTGCATACAATATAAATATAAGTGATATGAATTGTTCAGGGGTTAACATTTTCATAGTTAAATATATGAACACTTTCAGTTTAACATTAATCAACCCGTCACTGGTTGTGTAATTTTTTTTTTTGGTCGTGGTGGTTAAAAATTATCTATAATATAAAATATACTAGAATATAAAGATGTTATGATAAAAGTTCAAAGACAATTTTTGGATCGAGTAAAAAATGTATATCCTACACATCCAGTTATTGATACATGCAATTTAGAATTACATGAAATGAAAATTGTAAAATTTATATCTTCATATTATTGCACTTTAAGAGTGCATACTCAGTGTAAGCAATTGACACAGCAAAATCAAGGTTCAAAGTCATCCCTTAGGCATAAATTAAACAAACTTATTTTATTTAACCATGTTTAATCTGAGTCACAATTAAACTTTTATAATTTTTAAATATTTTTTATTTGTATATAATACTATGTATATGACTTCAGCACTTTTGTCATTGGAAATTGTTCATGTTAAATATATTTAAATTTGAATTGAGCTTGATTTATTTTATAATTAATAATTATTTTCATTGTATGCTTTTATTTTAACACTACTGCTTATTTTATACTCTTATTATTATTATTATTATTATTTCTTATACAGTTGAATATTTTGCTAGTTTATTTTAAATAAAACATTTTTATTAATTTATAGTTTTATTGTCATTACAGGAAAAATATCTAGCTGAAGTCAACTCAACATAAATTACTAAGTTAGCTTAACAGATTATATAACTTCAAGGTTATGACTATAGTTGAAGTATCTACAATTTCTTATAAGTTATAGTATCTTTAAATGATTATTTACTTTAGGACATTTTGGACAAGAAGTATAACAAAAATGTATTGAAGATTTTAGTAGTAGTAGTAATTGTAGCTAGATTATAAATTTACAATATTAACTTAAGTTAGGAAAGTAGTAACAAAAATAATTGAGGTAAGTTGTAGGTACAGCATCAGGTAAGTTGGGTAAGTAACTTTTCTTTCAATTATGAATAATATTATAAATACCAAAAATTGTCAATAAAAATCAATTTTTTGTTATTTTATATGCTTATAATTATGAATTAAAACCTTCTAACTTTAAATTTACAACTTGTTATTTTATTACCAACATACAAATCCTCTCAACTTCCTTTACATTTATATAACAAATGTAGGAGTCCACAAGAAAAGCATATTTCAATACTTATTATAGGTATTATAAATTATAATTATCTACTAATAAACCATTTACTTATCGTTAAATTATTTATATTCTATTAATTTAATCATAAATAATTTGTGGAAATTAAAAAATAATGAGATGCCAAGTTTTAAAAACCAAACTAAAGTCTTAAATAATATCGCGGAAATTTAATTTAAGATATTAGCGCAGTGTGTAAGACAAAGATAGTAACACCATTAGTATATTCCATCTCTTTCTAACATTCCCTTTCGGGCAACACTGCTTGTAGAGCATTCAAGTTATCATATAGTTCAATGGCGACCATCCAGCTGTGGAATCATTATCAATGTTTTCGTTATATTTGTTTATGTTCAAAACTTTAAGTTGTTTTTCGTGTAATCATGCTTTCAGTGTCATAAAGTTCATAGTTTTTCCGTTGGTTATTGTTTTAGTGTGGTGACACTGAAAGACCGTTGGTTTTTGTGCTCGCTGCTGAGCAGTTCAAGCAACGTCATGGTTGTTACATCATTTTTGTCATGAGCTGTTGGCAGTTGTCCCAAACCAAGTTGTTGTGAATTTGTGATTAAGTTTCTGGTAATTATCGTTCTCAGAAATGTTCATTTCCATCACTAATTTGTTGTTCCCAGTATAGGGTGGTCAAAATTACCAGAAATTTGTGTTGTGATTCAACGTGTTTTGGTGTACCTCGTTGCTCGTGAGGACAGTAGTGCGAAGACTAGAGATCCTGTTCCGGCTGCATTCAGTGTGTTTTTGTTAGTGAAGTCATCGTCAACAGTTGCTGGCACACATTCGCACGTACTCAGGGTCAATTTGATTTTTATTGTAACTTATTGACATACTTACAGGCCCTGGTGCAGTAACGTGGGTGTAAAACCAGGTGTGTGTCTCAACTGTTATGTGAGTATTGGTCGACCAAATATGTGTGTATGTATGACCTACGGGTCCTAAAGTATTATTATGTTCTGGTAGCCGTTAAGGCATATTATTTATTATTTACATTCTGTTTGTATCTTACAGCCATTCAGGCCTTTGTTCAATTATATATTATTATTTACCATTGTTCATTGTATTATAGCCCAAGAGGCAATTGAAATTATATTTTATATTGTTATTACTATTATCATTGTTGTGCCAAATGGGCAGTGATTGGAAAGAATGGACATCATTCATAGATTCTTTTAATGTTTACTTCCACAACAACAAAGATATGGCACCGATTCATAAGTTGCATTTTCTTAAGGCTTGTTTAGGAGGGCAGGCCAGTGATATTGTCAAATCTATACCAACTACAAATGAGAATTTATTATTATTATTTTTCATTTGTGGTTCTATAGTTTTGACAATATCAAAAATCTATACCAACTATGAGAACTATGAGCAGGCCTATGATGCAGTAACAGCAAGGTATGAAAACAAGGAAGCAATTATTCAATCACATATTAGAGCATTATTTGACACTCCCAAAATTTCAATAGCTTCAGTAATAGAGTTGCAAAGACTTTATCATCACATTACTTCAAATATAAATGTATTACAGGCATTAGGTCAACCGATTGAGGGGTGGAACGCTTGGTTGGTCACATTAATATGCAACCTAATGGATAGAGTAACCGTCAGAGAATGGCACATTCAATATAACAAGAAAGACCTACCAGAGTTCAAAGAAATAAAGGTATTTTTATTTAACCGTATTGCTGCCTATAAAGCAGGTGAAGTTAACATTGGTGAATCATGCATTAAACAGAATGTGGTCAAGTCCAGTAATAAATTTCAAGAAAAAAGGTTTTTTTGTGTTTAACCTGCAGACAAGGTAACTACACCATACAAATGTCCTTTTTGCAATGAAACTCGTAGGTTATATCAATGCAAAGGTTTTAACGATTTGAAAGTACCAGATCGCCAAGAATTTGTTTCAAAGAATCGGTTATGTTTCAACTGTCTTTACTCTAATCATCAAGCACAAGACTGCAGGTTCTCAAGTTGTCCAAAATGCGGTCAAAATTGCATTTGGATCAAGTTCATGAAAACCAACAAAAAAGAAGTGAAACGGATTTGCCCATTTGCCCATTTGCCCATTGCAAGCACAAGTGTTCCATGTTTTAGTAAGGGAATAGCACAGTCAATGCATGCGTCAGGTGACATGGTCATGTTGGCCACAGCCGTTGTGTACATTAATGATGCAGCTGGATATCCTCAGCCCTGTAGAGCACTACTGGACTCAGGATCACAGGTTAATTTTATAACTGATGCCTGTGCCCAATTTCTTGGATTGTCTAAAACAAAATGTTTTCTACCACTAGTTGGTATCAACTCAATGAGGTCAGATGCACAGAAATTGCAACCAGTTTTTATGTATTCTAGGTTTGAACATGTCAACGTTTCACTAGATCTTCATGTACTTCCTTCAATTGCCAATGATATGCCATCTCGATCAATACGTTTAGATCAGTCAAAGATTCTGGATATTGTTAATGAACAATTGGCTGATCCAAGCTATGATACACTAGGCAAGGTAGATATAATACTTGGCGCAGAAATGTTTTACACACTTTTCAGTGGAGAAATGTTGCCATTACAAATAGTTTAGTGATTCACAAAACCACACTTAAATTGGTTCTTACTTAAAGGGTATTAAATAGTGAAGTTATACAGACTATGTTTTCTGCTTGTGCTGGTGCTAATGATGCAACAATAAATTCAGCGCTTTCACTATTTATCAGTAAATCAAGTGTTCGTGAAGATGAAGAAGATATAGCTGAACACCATTTTAAGAAGACAGAGGTGATTCAGGGCGATTAGTTGTTAGCCTTCCGTTAAATACTAAACTCAGTTCGCTCGGTGAATCTAAACACATGGCGCAACAACGATTCTTTAACTTGGAAAAACGGTTATCTAAATACAGGGAACTATGCATAGCCTATCACAAGTTTATGTCAGAGTACTTAAACATGAATCACATGGAACTGGTAACTAATGATGATTCAAATAGTCAAACATATTATTTGCCTCACCATGCTGTCATCAAGAGAGACAGCATCACCACAAAATTAAGAGTTGTGTTCGATGGATCAGCTCCAACAATTTCTGGGCTATCCCTTAATGATGTCATGTTAAAAGAACCTATGGTTAAACTGTTACGATTTAGAGTACATAAGATAGCATTAACTGCAGACGTTGAGAAGATGTACCGTCAAATACTAGTAACTCCAAAAGACTGTCAATTACAACGAATTTGGTATCGTCCAAGTCCCTCTGGACTGTTAAGGGAATATAACCTTCGCACAATCACGTACATTACAAAATCAGCTTCCTATTTAGCGACCCGTATCCTGGTGGAGATAGCTTTTTCAGCTATTAAAGATGATTTCTATGTAAACGATTTACTTACTTGTGCTGAATCTTCAGACGAATGTTTCCAGCTATACAAAGATGTTTCAGACACGTTGGCGTCTCAGTTGTCTACCTGTTAAGAAAATGGTGTACAAGCTCTTCCGAAGTCCTGAGTAAATTACCAAATTCTGGGACCGATCCTAATCATGTTTTACAACTTAGTGAACAGGATGCTGTCAGTACTTTAGGCATAACGTGGCAACCCATAACAGATTGTTTTTGCTTTACATTAAAGCCATGGATTCACCCAAAAAAATGACTAAGCGAACATTACTTTCTGACATTAATAGATTTACGATTCACTTGGTTTCCTAACCCCAGTTCTTATAACTGGAAAAATCTTTGTTCAACAGTTATGGGTGTTGAAGATGATTGGGACACTACATTACCCGACGACATGCAGCATCGGTGGAAAAACTTTTATTTATCTTTGTATGCTTTAGATAAATTAGCCATTCCGCATCGGCCATTGTCAAGTAGTTGGTTTAACATCCAGCTTCATGGATTTTGTGACGCCTCACACTAGGCGTACGGAGCATGTGTTCACCCAAGAACACAGAATTAAAATGGAGAATTCGAAACATCACTATATGTTTCAAAATCAAGGGTAGCGCCATTTCATGCGACCACTATACCCCGGTTAGAGCTCTGTGGTGCTATACTACTCAGTGATTTAACTACAGAAGTCACAAAAAAGGAAGTCCCAGAAAGTTCTTGCAAACATTGCAGCCGTCTGGCGGCGACAAAGAAAACTTGGTTGGGACCTGCAGATTTCATGAACACAAGTATGAATTTATTTTTAGATTTGTTGTATAGTATATTAGTATTAATATTAATTGTATGTATAAATGTGTTACATTAGTTCTGATCCTAAAATGAAAAAAATGAAAAAAAGTATTTATTTTCAAAAGTAAATGCATCTCAATACAATAAGTTAATTATTGAAGATCTCACTAGCACTAGTATGGATTTACTATTTATATCTTGTACTTAATTGTTTTTATAAACAATATTATGCTAATTAAAAATTTAATCATAATGAACTTGTCATTTTAGATGGTCCTAATGAAAAATACTGGGAGGTTATTGCAGATCGTCGTAGAAAGGTTTTGGAAGAAGTTCTTGAACAAAATCGTAAATTACATACTATAGTCATGGCATTGGAAGAAGAAAATACATGTTGTAAAAAATTACTCAAACAAATAACTGATCTCGTTAACACATTAAAGGTAAATATGAAATTGTTTATTCACACAAATACACAATTATTATGCAAACTGTAAATGGAATCAACAAAATGTTATCTGATTGTTATTGAAGAATTAGCTATTTTTTTTATATTTTTAGTTGGTTGTCTAGTAATCCAATATTTATACAAAAATATATTTCCTTCAAATACATAAACAAAAACTAATTTAGCTTAATTCAATTATAGGAAGTACTAAATGAAGAAGATGATAAATCAACTGAATTTAATGTCGATAATTACATTTCGTCAATCAACTCCAATCAAATAAACAGCAACGATGATTTTTCTGGCAGTGAATCTGAATAAATTCTTTCTACATTTAATTTAACAAATAATTAATTCTATTTCAAATTATTCAATTGATTTTTTTTTTTTGTTCCTACCAAGTATTAATTTATTTTGAATTAAACGTAATCATATCAATATTTTTTTTCAGTGAATATTTATTTTTGAATGTAGAACTTTGTTTTACTTTTTTGAACAGTTTTTATGTTAATATACATTCATGTGAAAACAACCATGAATTGTGAATCTATACATTTTGAACTAAATTGGTTTACAATATTTAGCATACATATTAAAACAATAAACTAATTTGTAAGTAATTAAAGGAACTTAAATGGTATCTTTTATTTTTAACATGTAGTTCAAATTCATTTTTATTTTAACAACATTCAGTAACTTTTATTATTGTATATTGCGTTCTATTTTAATTATTAGGTTTCTTATCGATTCATAAAGATACATCTAACATATTTGGATAATATTTGTATTTGTATTTAATTATTATAGTAAGTCAAAAAAATAATAATTTTATGTTCAGTTAAATGTACATAGTAAACTGTTTTAACAGCACGCGTATACGTAACTATGTCATACCTCTAGATTAAAATTAAATAAACACAACTTTAATAACTTTTATTGTATATTTGTTATCTAAAATATATTCTTGTTTTATAAATTATAACAATTGATTATGAACAAGGAAATAATATAAACTCGCTCACATTCATGGGCAGTCTTTTATCCTGCCACAGATAAAGAGAAATATTGTTATCCTGTTTGTATTTTGTTGAAATATTATTAGGTATAATCAATGTTACATAAATAAGTAATAACGACGTAACTGTGACCTGTTCTATACAAAATTAAATACCTACCTAAGCTAAAGATTATTTCATAATAATATTATGTTAGGTATACTGTTATAGGTGGGAATGTTGGAACATACCTAGTAGTGAAGTAGGTACTCACTTATTATATTCCTCAATATACACTATGGTACCATATTTTTTATATTTATTGATAATTTTTACTTCAAAATAATCAAAATATTATAGATTAATTCTTTTATATTTTGGGCGTGCACATTTTAAACTTGGGGGTGCACAAGTCCCCTGTTTCCCCCCCCCCCCTTGTTGCGCCAATGGGACTGGATGTACTGAGTTCATATTTTTACCTGGTTAATACTTAAAATGAGATAGATTAATCAGATACGTCGCTGTCACCAAGTCTCCCGTTTGTGTAAACGTTTCCCGAAACATAGGCGGGATACGCTACGCGGGGTCGGGTGGGGGTTGTCTGGCCGAAAATCTAGTGACTAAAAGTCTTGTGATAGAAAGAAAGTGATCGAAAAGGTATCTGGTCAAACACTTTTTTGATCGAAAAATATAATATCGAAAATGCAAATGATCGAAATGTTATGTCATCGAAATATGTCATGGACGAAAAATATATATTTTGTGTTAATTATTTAAAAAAAAAAACATAAATTATAATATAAAATTAATTTAAGTAGGTATTATAACGTAGACAAAAGTTGTTATAAAATATTAAAATAATTGGTAGTTCTAGATACTAGTATAACTTATAAGTATTAGTATAAATAATATAATATAGTAAGTAATTAAAATTTAAATATGTTATGATCGACAAATATATATTACATACAAGTAAATAAAAATTTACTAAAGTAGGTATTATAATGTAAAAAAATATTGTAGTAAAATATTAAAATAATTGGTAGGTATAGATACTAGTATAACTTATAAGTATTAGTAAATAATATAATATAATGAGTAATTAAAACTTTAAATTTTGAGCTATTCCTCTTAAATAATCTAATAAATCATAACCCGGATCAGCGTAATAAATCTTTGTTTTTTTTATACTAGTATATGAAATTATTTATATTTAATAATATATTCCTCCATGGATGCTAGGTACAATATCAATATTCATATTTATATATAATAAAAAAAAATTACCTGTTGTTGCAAAAATATGTATAAAATACCAAAGTATATTGAACAGATGATACACACTATTGGTAGGTACACCGTACACGTTGAACAGTCGTTACACACTAAGTACCTACTATACGATATACCTTCATATGGGCTAGGTACATCTATAAAAATACTGGATAAAGTAATCGAAAAGATAATAATTATCTTTACTTCGACCAAAAAACCCATTCGACCACGAAATATTTCGACTATATTAATAAAATATTCGATCATCTGTTTTTCGACCAAAAAAAAATTCGATCACATGACATTTCGATCGCTTTTTTTCGATCACTAAACCTTCGAAAAATGGCCTTCGACCAAATGACTCGCACCGAGATATATAATAGTGTACTTTAGAAATTACAAGTACTCACGAATAATATTATATAATCACAACAAAATTACTAAAATAGTTATTCTAGGTTTTTTTTAATGTAATTTTATCCAAAGTTGAACTTAAAATGACTATAAAAATAAACTGTGGTCACGTATTTTTTAGATTTTTTGGTAACAGAAATAACTACTTACGTGGAATCTTGTTTTAAATTTTCAATCCTTAGATATAAAAGTTGAACATTTTATACATTTTTAACTACAAAATAATTATTCTATTTTAAAATTTAATAAATTTTGTCAAAATTCGATCTTTAAATGGTTATAAAAAAAATTGTGCAAATGTATTTTTAATACTTTTACAGTTGTTCGTTTTTGAATTACAACAAAATAAGAAAATCGCTACATGAGAAATCGAGTGAATATCCAATGTTGTAAAAATTTGAATTTCAAACGCTTCTAAAAATTTAATTTAACTTTCTTATAGACATTTTTTTTTTTATAAAGGTAGATAATCTTATAAGGAATCTTGTATTACATTTTAAAATCTTAGATTTATTAAGAAAAATTTTTACCAATTCTTAACTTAAAATAATTTGCTAATTTTCGTGATTTTTACGCCTTTTGTCAAAATTTGAACTTTAAATGCTTACAAAAAAAACTGTGACAAAGGATTTTTAATATTTTTCAAATGCTATTGTAACAATATAGTAGGAGCCTTGTATTAAATTTTCAAGCTTTTTTAACTAACAAATAAAATTTTATTGATATTTTAAGAAAAAAAACTAAAAAAAAATGGAAAATGAAAAAGTGCCTAAATAGTTCAAAATGAATTTTAAATTTTAATGTACCTACGGTCATTTATTTAAGAGTTGCACCAAAAACCATAATCTATTTTTTTGAAACAGATTTTAGGGTAAAAATTACCAATTTTTCCTTAATTTTTATTTTGTTTTTCATCCCGCCTTTGAAAACTACTTTGGATTTTTCACTTTTGACCCCCCAAAGTACCGACTAGATTCACTTTCCTATCAGAAAAGCTATACTGTTAAAGAAAATCCAAGCACTTTTACTGTCCTAAAACGTGATGACAGACACAATAAAAAATGGAAATAAAAAAAAAAACACACACATCATTGTAAAATCAATAAATTCATCGTTGCACTCAGAATCTAAAAAATATTTAAATAGACAATTTTAGATTTTTGTTTCAGAGGCCCCTTAGAGCTGGAGGCCCGTGTGCATTGCACACCTTCCACACCCAGTGGTCGCGGCACTGCTAATGGTAGGTACTCACTTATTATATTCCTCAATATACACTATGGTACCATATTTTTGTATTTATTGATAACTTTTACCTGAAAATAATCAAAATATTATAGATTAATTCTTTTATATTTTGGGGGTTGCACATTTTGAACTTGGGAGTGCACAAGTCCCCTGTGCACCCTCCTATTTCCGCCAATGGGACTGGTTGTACTGAGTTCATATTTTTACCTGGTTAATACTTAAAATAAGATAGATTAATCAGATACGTCGCTGTCACCAAGTCTCCCGTTTGTGTAAACGTTTCCCAAAACATAAGCGGGATACGCTACGCGGGGTCGGCTTGTTTACCATTCCCTATTTTACGTATGCCACCCCGCCCCCCCGCTATATACCGTGTTCAAGGCTGAAATCGCCTGTTCGGCCAACCCACGGAGTTTCGTACCCCTGCTGTCACTATAGTATAATAGACTCAGAATTAGTATATTAGACTTTCAACGGACTTATAATATTACCTATACATTTTAGTACATTAACTATACAGATTTCAGGTTTATTACATAGTATATTATGATAAAATTCGTTTATTTGTTATTGGCTTATATAGGATCTTAGTAGACGGTAGTCGGAATAAAAATTCCCAGGAAAATAAATCCCCAAACTACAATATTACTCACAACCACATGCAAATGGTTAAACAAATATTTTTTGAACGTTAATTAGTATCTATAATTACCACATTATTAATATTTAATTACAAATACGTAACCATATTATAATATTATATTATTCTATATTATATCATTCAAAAAAAATTATATATAGTGATGATAGAATATTAATGATATAATATAAATAATATTTTGTTTTAAATTACGATAATATATTATGTTAAATTAAATTAATTTTGAATATTCAGAAATTTTTCGGAAAAATATTATTTATATAATTTATAAGTTTGTAGAATGTAAAAAATACCAACAGAAAAAAAAGGTATATTTACGAAGAATTTCTTATATAATTTTATAAATAAAAACTTATATCAGTAATATACTGTATTAATTTGGAAATAATTAATAATAATATATTGGTAATTATGTACCCAACACTAAGTGACTTTATATAAAGACATCCAGTGTCGGGCTCCCACAACAAAGGCCCATCGATCAGTTTTTAAATTACTTTTTAAAATACAAAATTTACTTGACATTCTGGTGAAAAAATGCTCACCAAATTTATTCTTTCAAAAATACATTTATTCAAATTCTGCTTTTTAGAATTTTTAAGTAATGCCTAAAGACCATATTATATTAAAATTCCTGATATTTTTTGTACTATTATTAGAGTGTCCCGAGGCTATACAAACTTTTAATTTTAGAGAATTTCCCTTTTTACTGCAAAATTAATTAGCAGATGATGTTCTTATAAATGTAGATGTATGTAAATCAAAATTCTAATGAGAAATGCTGAATTATTAAAATGTTTACGCTAATTATAATAATCCTTAAATATGGTTTACTCTAAAAAACTATAAGTACCTACCTAATATTAGATGTAGTAACGTACCTATTCAATATTCAATATACCTACCAACTTAATAATTATTACAAATAGATTATCTCAATAAATCAAAGGTAATTAGTACTAACTACTACCATTTTCAAATCTACTTATCCAATTTCCATATATTATGATTATTCTTAGTACACAAAGTTATATAACTCAAAAACTAAAAGTTCAAATTTTGATTTAGGTGCATCAAAGTTCTCAAAAAAAAAAAAAATATCTGCTGAATAATTAAAATTAAAAAAAAAAGAGGATTCTTATATGAAAACAGATGTTTGTATTATAACAACATCATCTTTAAACAGTATAAAAAATCTAAACTATTCAAAAATCTTCAAGTGAATTTAAAAATTCTGAAAATCAGAATTTGAATATAATAGCTAGAAACCAATATGGCAATACCGTGAATATTTGAAATTTTCATCTAATGTTTTAATTTTTGTATTACCATTTTCTATACAACAATACATTTTCAAAATATTTTGACTATTTTTGATCTATGTAGACATAAGAAAATTTTGATTCTTAATATTTTTTTTTATAATTTTTTTATTTTTTATAAAAAATTTTCGTTTGATAAAAATACTTTAAAATGTAATAAAGAGTTTCTTATAACTTGCTTCTAATTTAAATTTAAAACAATTTAGAATAAATCCACAATAATTTTTTATGAGCATCTGAAGCATCTTGATACGGTACGCAACGGACGACCAGTACAAAGTACAGGCGTCAGAGCTACCTATCTGCACTTCACAAACCGCCACCACGGGCTACAAGCGCGACATCGCCAACTCTCCTAGAGTGCCTTGATAGAGAGAGTGTGGCCATACGGAGAGTTGCTCTGATTGGATGAAAGATTTGACCGCCATTAGTTGGCTACTTTTATTTCTGATAAGATGTTTTTACATGCACTATCATAGATTATTTTTACTTTACAAACGATTTAGTATATTGCATTTGTTTTATTTAGTTGTTGCTATTTTTTAAATCGTGAAACTATAATATTTTTCAAAATTTGTTTTAATTTTTGTAAGTATAATATTTAGAATACCTGTATATTCACCATTAATTTTCAGCTATATACAATGTACCTACCCAGCTGATACCATGTATTTCTAATCATGACATACAATTATTTAGAGTATTTAATATATTAATATATAGGTACACTTTATAATATGCACTATAGTTAAAACACAATTTGAAAAATGCCTGGGTGTGCAGCTGTTGGATGCACAAATTCTAACAAAAAAGGATTTCTCATGAAACATTTCCCTAAAGATGCTGCCAGAAGGATAATGTGGTTGGTAAAAATGAAGAGGGATAATTGGGTACCAACAAATTATTCATGCTTGTGTGAAGTAAGTACCTAGGTATAATTAAATAACTAATTATAGTTGATTTAAAAAAGTTTAATATAGCATATAGGTGGGAACCTACATGTATTTATTATTTAATGTGTATTTATCAGAGTATATTTTCTGAAGAGGAAGTAGCTACCTACCTACTTTATTGTATACATGTATAATATTGTATATTAGCAATTATTTTATATTTTATATATTCATTTAACTTGACATATTTCAAAATATATTTATTTTTATAAAAATTCATTGTCCGTTTAACTTGATATTTATTGATGTTTTATTTTGCAGCTACCTATCTAATAAGTACTACATATAATTAAGATAATTTTGAATTTTAAGACTACATAATATTCATTAATGATTTTAAGGTTCATTTTGAAGATCAAATGTGGGAAAAAATAAGAGAAGATGGTAGCAAACGGTTAAAATGTGACGCTGTGCCTACTCAGTTTTTTTTTACTAAAGAAATACCGAAAAGAAAACCCCCCACAGCAAGGAAAATAAAATCTCCCATGAAGAAGAATATCCCTGAACAAAATGAATTAGAAATACAAAATCAGTATACATCAGATAACATAACTATAATTGAAGAAGACCAGGTAAACCATAGTAAAATTAGTTATGAAAGTATGTTAAAGAAAATGGTTGATTATGAACGACAGTATAAAAATTCTGTTGCAAAGATGAATATATTTAAAAATCGCCTTCAATAAGTGACTAAAAAATTAGAAATGTATGAAAATAACACTGCAATCCTAAATTCAGTCTTCAATAGTGATCAAATTAAAGCAATGAATAGGAAATCAACAAAATTTATGAAATGGTCAAACTGCACAATAACAAAGGCATTAAAACTTAAATTTAGCTGTGGTAACAATGGCTATAAAGAATTAATTAAACAAAAAACTCCATTGCCATCTTTAAGAACATTGCGAAGAAGAATTCAAAATTTAAAGTTTGAACCTGGAATTTTACATGAAGTTTTTAAATTTTTGGAAATAAAAATTCAAACATTTAAGAATGACAATGAAAAAGAGTGTGTCTTAATAATGGACGAAATGGCTATAACACCATCAAATTTATTTGATGTGTCTTCAAATAAAAACATAGGAAAGGTAACTTTACCACATCATGAAGGAACAGCCACGAGTGTTTTGGTTTTTATGCTTGGTGGCATAAGTACAAGATGGAAACAAACAGTAGCATATTTTTTACCGGGAAGTCTGTTAATGGCAATGTTTATCATGATATTGTAGTTGATATAATTTCCAAAACAGAGTCTATAGGATTGAATGTTGTTGCTCTTAAATCGGATATGGGGCCCAGTAACCAAAGTTTGTGGAGGAAATGGAATATAACTGCCGGTCGTCACTGTAAATTGTCAAACTTTCTACCTCATCCCCTTGATGACAATAGGAAATTGTTTGTTATTCCAGATGTACCTCATCTCTTTAAGAATATTAAGAATATGTTAGTAATTAATAAAGAAATATTTATTAGCAATAAAATACAGCAACTTTACAATCTTCCTACAAATAAAATTTGTTCAAATCATATTGAAGATGTTATTAAGTATCAAGAAAAATTAGATTTTTTATTAGTTCCTAAACTGTCTGAACAAGATTTGATGCCAAACCATTTTCAAAAAATGAAGGTTGGAAAATCAACTAATGTAATAAATCATGATGTATATACTGCCTTAAGATTCTTGTCTGAAGAATTAAATAAGCCAGAATATCTTACAACTGCTTGGTTCATTAACTTAGTAGATAGATGGTTTTCTTTGATGACGTCCAGACATCCTGTTTTAGCTTTAAGCAAATTGAAACCAGACATTTATGAAGAAACTATACAATTTTTAAATAGTTTTATAGATATTATGTCAGATCTAGAAGTAGGACATAAAAGGATGTGGAAACCGTCTCAAACTGGTTCCATACTAGCAACAAAATCAATTTTAGATATTCAAAAAATTTACCTAATTGATAAAGGATTTAAATTTCTCTTGACTTCAAGATTTACTCAGGATTGCCCTGAAAATCTATTTAGTATTTTGAGATCAAAGAACATAGTACCAAATGCATTGCAAGTGAAAAATAATTTGAAATTGTTATCTGTATCTCAATATTTAAAGGAAGTATCAACAGGGAGTTATGAGGAAGATGACAGAACATTTTTATCGGGATTTTTGGACACTTTAAAAACTAAACCAATTGAAAACCAATTTCAAAACATTCAGCTGCCATCAGAAACAAGTGAACCCGAAATCAACTTTGCAATGGTGAGTTAAACTCTCTTTACAATGTATGCGGCTATTTAATATTTAGTATTAAAAAAAAATCAAAAATGTGTACTGATTGCTTGAGTTCAGTAGGCTCTAAAAATAGCATTAATGCTTCTTTTGCAAAGTTATCTAAACTAAAACGCTATAAAAAAGGATGCTTGTTTTTTTGTAACGAAATTACATTTAATTATTTTTTGGTCATGGAAAAAATTTTCAGAAAATATTATAATACTGTGAAAAATCAAAATTGTAACATCAAAAAATTTTTTATTGAACAAATGAAAAAAATTGAAATTCAACACATTCCAGATTGTCATAACTTAAAGAATACTATTATATCTAGATTTGTTCTTTTTCGCTTAAAAATAGCTGGGAAAAAAAACTTAAGCTTCTTAATAAATATAGTAGCAAATCTATTGCTTCGCATGCTTAGAGAATTATTATTTTTAAATTGTATTTCAAATAGATATTATTTTTTTTTTTAAATATTTTTTGTTTGGATACATCTTTAAAGTTTAAATATTATCTTTAGAGTTTAGGTTTATGCTCTTATGATTAAAAATTATCTTATGCTTATTATATTGTTTTTAATTCTGTTTTGCGTTTGGCTATTATAATATTATATTCCTATTAGACATTTAATAATATGTTGTTTTGTTTAAAATTTTTAATTTTGTATTTATGTGTAACATAATTTTCTTTTAATTTTTGAAAGAATATAATGGAGCTAATTAATAGTGCTTTCAAGCTAAAAATATTAGGTATGTATACTATGATATTATCACAAAATGAATGTGCTTATTTATTATTGAAAGACTATAATTCAGCTAATTAATAGTGCTTTCAAGCTTAAAATGTTAGGTATGTATAATATGATATTATTACAAAATGAATGTGCTTATTTATTATTGAAAGAATATAATGCAGCTAATTAATAGTGCTTTCAAGCCCTGTTTCAAGCTTAAAATGTTAGGTATGTATAATATGATATTATCACAAAATGAATGTGCTTATTTATTATTAGGTATAATTTATATTATACAATGATTTGGTTTTAATGTATTACTTTAATATTCAGATGTGCAATTACTAAATGATGTTACAAGAGTTAGTACAAATGTTACCTAACATTTACAATAAATTGCTTTCCTACTACAATAATATGTAACATTGCAAGGATGGAATAAACAAATTATAAATTAGTTCAACAAGAATAATACATTTTTATTTTACATAATTATTATGGCAAAACCATACTTACCATTTACTAGTAAAAATGGTTATTATTTTTTTAAATATAATTTAACAGGACATGTATTACTTGATAATTTGTAACTGTTCTTTTTAAAATAAATATTCTATACTTGTTAGAATATAATAACGAAATCGTAAGACTATATAACATGTTATTAATTAAGACTCTTAAAAATTAATATTTGAGAAGAAATGAGAAAAGTTTGAAACGAAACTATAAAATAACATGTAATACATTAATAACTGGTGTATACTGAAATTTTAGTTTAGCCAACTAATGGCGGCCTAATCTCTTATCTTATCTTATCACTCCGTATGGCCACACTCTCTCTATCAAGTCACTCTAAACTCTCCCACCACGCCGCAAAGGCAAGGCGGGACGGGGAGGCAAGGCTCGTAGGACAACCACCGTCACGGTCTGATTACGTCCCTACAACACGCGACCCACCGTATCCGTCTTTTTGTAGTTCGTATTGTAAATACATACCTTCACCCGGCCACGGGTCTTTCTGTTTTATTTTCTTTCTTTTACGTTAAATAAACGCCACCCGGCATCTACACAATCTACCGTTCGTGTTTCCGTTTATTTGTTTTATAAACTGTTAAGTTGTGCGTTTGTGCCGAGTGCATCAACACGCACCCACGACAACGACCGGCCTACCATTCCTACCAGTGTAGCCGCGTCAATTGGCTCCCCGCTGAGGATATCTCCCCAAGTCATCACCACCTCAAGACAGCGAAAAGGTAAGAGTTTTCACGCTGACACGCATTACGTAAGAACTATTTTAGTACACAAGGGGGAAATCCGCGCAACCGAGTATAATCGTGATACGGCTTTGGGAAGCAATTACATAACGTACCGCTACCCCGCCGCAACGCCCATCACTCACACAGAAAAAAAACCACCAGGGCCGTGCAAATATTGTGGGGAACCTCATTGGAACAGTAAGTGTCCAAATAAGCCGACCACGTCGGGAAACGGCGGGGGAGTCGACGAGGACTAGTCCCCCTCATCGACTCACCAGCAACCCCCCACCCACCACCACCCACTATCGGTAGTACACACGGAAAAAAAACACGTAATCGAAAAGCGCGTAGTTCGGTAATTCAACACACAGAAAAACCAACTACGAAAATTTTTTCCGTCTCATCACCAATCGGCACCCGTTCACAGACCCCCAACCTACACCACCCCACCACAGAACACACTCACCTCACCGGTGACACGTGTGTTCAACAACAACCGGCTCATGGGGCAGCCACAGGTGTAGGGACAAAGGCAACAGAGACACGGGTGTTCACCTGCACAGGTGACGGGGACACAAGCACACACACCACGCTTATCCCCGAATTAGGTCAGTCTGCGCAGGCAAAACAAGAGGTGAGCAACGAGGCAACCGACGTTGACAGTATGGTCATGGCGGTTGACACCGACGACCAGACAGTTCCCGTCGCGGTTAAGAACCAATTGTCCCGCTCGACCGATTGCACTACGACTAATAATGATACGTGAACGCGCCCAGACAAAATTCCGACCCTCGCGGTCGAGCTCGAATTTCCGTCAGGCTTCGTAACAGCTCTATTAGATTCGCAGGCACAAAAATCGTACGTAAACCCGACAGTAGCCCGTAAATACGGCAAAACACCTCCCCACGGACCAACAAACACAGTCCGGATGGCGGACGGTCACATTGCAACAACCAGTGGCACCTCCACATTCGAAGCTAGGATAGGTGCACTCGACATTAAATTCGAAGCTACCATCCTAGACAATTTGTATTGCGACGCGTTACTAGGACACGACTTTCTTGTAAACAATGAAGTCTCTTGGGACTACGCCGCGTGCACAATCCACATGGGTAAGCAAATTCGAACATCAACATGTTGGATAGGGAAGTCCCAACCACCCGTCACTCGTCCCGACTTGTCACAATTAGAATTCGGAAACGACCCCGAAACTCGCGCGAAATTAACCAAGATTTTAAACAAATACGCGGTAGTATTCAGCGAAAAAGTAGGACGTACCAAATTAATTGAACACGAAATTTTGCTTAAAGACCCGTCCCCGATCGCGCTCAAACCATACCCATATCCGCAGCAAAAACAAACCACTATCGACGATATGGTGCGCGATATGGAACTCCAAGGGCTCGTAGAACCTATCACCTCACCGTGGGCCGCACCAGTAGTATTGGCAAAGAATAAAGACGGATCATTCCGCCTCTGTGTCGACTACAGGCGGCTCACGACGCAACGGAGTCCGAAGCGTACCCTATGCCAGATCTCAACAAAATGATTAGAAAAATGCGGGGCGCGAAAATTTTCAGTATTTTTGATCTTCGCTCGGGGTACTGGAAAGTACCCTTACACAAAAATGCATGAAAATACACGGCATTTCGAACACGTAGAGGACTATTTCAATTTCGAGTTCTCCCTTTCGGTCTCAAAAATAGTCCAATGACTTTCGTGAGACTCATGAACGAAGTAATGAGGGGGTACCAGGATGAGTTCATACAAGTATACCTAGACGATATAGTAGTATTTTCAAGGAACGAGTACGAACATCAGGCCCACTTAGACAAAGTTCTCGAGCGTCGCAAGAGGTTTGGACTAACGTGCAACACAAAAAAATGCAAAATCGGACTACGCGAAATTTCATTTTTGGGGCACATTGTAGACTCGGAAGGCATACAAAAGCAACCGGAAAAATTAGTCTGCATTGACAATTTTCCGGTTTCACGTAACGTTAGGCAAGTACGAAAATTTTTAGGGGTATGCAACTGGTACAGCCAATTCGTAGGCAACTACGCGGACACCATAGCACCCCTAACAAATTTATTGAAACAGGGGAATAGGTGGAAATGGACGGATGCCGAACAACGCGCGTTTAAGTCAATAAAAAACGCGCTAGTCACATCGCCGAAATTGTCCCCACCAGATTACAACAAAACATTTTGTCTCCAAACCGATGCAAGCGAGATAGGAGCTGGTGCGGTACTATTCCAACGGGGTGACAGACCGGAGGAAAGACGCATCATATCCTACGCAAGCAAAAAGTTTAGCGAGACACAGACGAGGTACGCCGCGGTAGAACGCGAGTGCCTAGCAGTAATTTGGGCAACGGACAAATTTCGACCATACCTAGAGACCCGACGTTTTGAACTCCTAACAGATAACTCGGCACTAACATGGTTATACAGGGCCAAAGACAAAAATTCAAAATTAACACATTGGTCACTACAACTAGCTAATTTACATTTCAGTACGGTACACGTCCCGGGAATACAAAACGAAGCACCGGATTTGTTATCCCGCGACCCAGCACCGGGGGCACCCGTAGACGAAGATCAACTTGAGGAAAAGATGGTAGGGGCGCCTGCAACGCCAACAACCAAAGTAGACCTCAAAACCGATCGTATCTTTTCTATGCGCGATAACCAAGTCAGTGACGACACACCGCTCACCGCGACGACTCTCCAAAAGTGGCAGTCCGAAGACGCCACGATTTGCGACGTAGTCGCCGGTCACAGGGGGGACGGCCCTGCGCAGAACACTAGGAGCTCAAAATCGGGAACAAACGCATACCTTTTTTTCGAAGGACTCCTACGCATAAACGTAGGCCCCCACACACCCGTCGTTATACCAAAAACCAAAGCGCAACAGGTAATATGGAGGTGTCACGATCACGTTCTGTCTAACCATCCGGGTTGGAAAGAAACATACAGGGTGGTACGACAACGGTTTTATTGGAA